GAGGAGGAGGAGGAGGAGGAGGAGGAGGAGGAGGGGAGGGGAGGAGGAGGGGAGAGCCGGGCCCGCAGGTCGCCGGCAAGGGGGGGAGGAGGAGGAGGAGGAGGAGGAGGAGGAGGAGGAGGAGGAGGAGGAGGAGGAGGAGGAGGAGGAGGAGTACGACCAGGATACTCTCAGGATGTCCGTTGGAGACACCGGTAGTGGGCCCTCGGGGGGGCCTCGTCGCCACGGATGGGCGCACCTTGGAAAATCAATGCGTTGGGACTCGGGAGGGCTCCGGGGACCGATCTTGAAGAGGAAGGGTGGAGGAAGGAGGGGCAGGTGGCAGCTGCTCTCCAAGGCCCTCTCGGCTCAAGCCGCTCGTGCTGCAACCGCTGTTCACGAAGTCCCGGCGCCTGCGCCCAGCGCCCGAGCAGCGCGCGGGATGTCCGCGGATCCTCTCAGTGAGCCCAATTGGCTGGCGCCATATTTGCGGGATTGGCGCCACGACCATCCTCTCCGAGCCACCGAGCCCATTGTGTCTGGGTATACAAGTGAGAAACCGAAGAAGAGCGCACAACGTCCGTGGCACTACTACACTGTGAAGCAGCCGGCAGGCGGTGTTCAAGCGTGGCTGCTCGTTCCTTTCCTCGTGAGGGCCCCAGCCTCTGGCGGGACACCCCCTCCGAAGGGAGCAGAATCCCAGGCGGGCTTGGAGACCAGAGTCAAGGATGGCGTTTTGATGGAGCACTACACAAACATCCATCGGATCGCGGCCCTCTTGGAGAGCCACCCGCTCGTATCCACCGTCACGCAGCACAAGGTGGACAAGTCCCTGCACCCTCGGCGCTTAGACCAAGATGGCCGGGCGTCCAAGTACCACCAGTCCCCCTGGGATTTGGCAGTGACGCTCGCAGCCTCTGGCGCGAAGTTCACTTGTGGGTGGAGCACCAACACGATCAAATATCCGCTCGCGGCGATGTGGTGGCTCCTTGCGGGGGGTTCCGCAACGGAGGAGAACCTCGTCCAGGCGGAGGCGATATTTTGGGATGTCGCCGAAGCCGGCCGGATCTGGCCGCCCGGCTTTTCCGCTCCCACGGAGCCCTGCCATGTCGCCGCCCGCCCGGCCATGTTGCCGCCGAGCGCTTCCGCGAGCGCCTCCGGAAGCGGCAGCGTGGCGCCCGTTGCTTCCCCGGCGGCCGCGTCGTTGTCCCAGCCTCCGGCGGGAGACGCAGCGCGCGCATCCGCGCTGGCGCCGCAGGCAGCTTTGGCCGGCACGTCTGTTCCGCCGCCCCTGCCGTACGCCACCGGGCCCGCGCCGGCGCGCACGTCAGCCTCTGCTCCACCGCCTCAGCCTCTGGCGGCGAGGCCCCTGCAGCTGCCTTTGGCGGAAGCGCCCGCGGCCGCGGTGGGGGCGCCCGCCGACGCGACCGGAGCGGCCTCCGCGTCGTTGCCCCAGCCTCTGGCGGGAGACGCAGCGCGCGCCTCCGCGTTGGCGCCGCAGGCAGCTCCGGCGAGCACGTCTGTTCCGCCGCCCCTGGCGTGCGCCACCGAGCCCGCGCCGGCGCGCACGTCAGCCTCTGCTCCACCGCCTCAGCCTCTGGCGGCGACGCCCCTGCAGGTGCCTTTGGCGGGGGCGCCCGCGGCAGCGCTCGGGGCGCCCGCCGACGCGACCGGAGTGGCCTCCGCGTTGCTGCCTGCGCCGAGCGGTGGCGCCGAGCGCCAGGACAACCTCGCGGACGACCAGGTGGGAGCGGAGGAACGGCTGAAGTGCAGGGTATCGATTATACCGAAGATAAGGATGACAGCTTGTCGTCTGGAGGGGAGGAGCAGGACGTCAACGCCGAGCCCGCGCCGGAGCAGGCCCCCCCGGCTGAACCGCAGCACAGGGTGCGTCGCCGCTCGAGGTCCCGACCGGGGCCTCAACGTGCACGCGACCCAGCCTCTGGCGGGGCGGACGGCGAGGTCGACCTCACCGTGCACGTGTCCGCCAAGAAACTGGAGCGCCTGTCGGAGGACCAGAAGGAGCGGCTGCGCCAGATCGTGCGCACCAGTGAGCGGCAGGTGCACTTCGGCGAGCACTGGCAGGGAAGGGTCAGCCTGCGTGAGCGCATGCCTCGAGAGGCTCCGCAACTGGCGAGAGCTCGCGACGAGCGTCGGGCGCTTCTCCTCGGTGAGTTGCTGGAGTACGCGGACCCGATCCCGGACGCTCCGGAGTTCATCGCTGGAATCCCTTCCAAGAACACCATGCGCTTCGGCGCCAACGAGGATGTCGTCAAGGCCATCGCCAGCAGGAAGATGCACTACATGCGTTTGCTGACAAACAAGATGGACGAGGATGAATGGCTCACCTTCGTCGAGGAGTGGCCGGACTTGTCCCCAGCCTCTGGCGGGTGGTGGGTGCTCCAGCGCGACGCCTGGGAGCAGCTCAAGCAGGAATGGCGGGGGTTGTCTCCAACGATGCCGAAGCCCAGTCGACCCCCAGCCACGTCCTCTCCACCCATCTCCCTTCCCTCCACGCGGTAGGGAGTCGGCGAAGGAGGAGGGAGAGGACGAGGATGGGGGAAGGGGAGGGAAGGGGGGAGGGCGAGGAGGGGGAGGGACAGGGGGCGGCACCGTTGGAGAGAATCCGTCGCCACGACTGAGGACTTTCGCCTGCGCGATACGCGCGACTACGTGAAGCACATTCTGGCACTGCACGATGGCGAGGCCAGGCTTGTGCGGGCGGGGTGGGAGCCATTCCCAGCCTCTGGCGGGAGCATCCTTCAACCTTGCTACTGGCACTACCAATTTTCGCGCGGCTGGGACACGTACTCGTGGCTATCCACCCACAAAGGAAACTTGACCATCCAAGACCTGGACTGGATCATGATGAAGGACGGCGGCGAGACTGGCTTGATGAGGAGCGACCCAGCCTTCGGGAACTGGCAGATCCGCAGTGGCCAATTCATCACGCTGGCCGAACTCTTCTGGTTCGGGAAACACTTGTGCTCATGCTACGACATCTACCGCGCTTACCTGAGCCTGCCTGTGTGGATCCAGAAGCGCAAGCATTCGACCTCGCAGTCCGCGGCGGGAGTCCTCAGGCGCAACGCGAAGGCGTTGCGCCACCAGGAGGAGGGCAAGTACGGCTTGCCCTCGAACCCGGGGAAACGCGGGCGGCGGTGAGCACTTGCCCTCGGCGCCTGCGGTGCCGAGCCCAGCCTCTGGCGGGAGTAGCCTCGCGCCCAGCTTCGGTGCCAATGCCAGATTTTTTACAGCGGAACTGCAGATTCCGCGTCCGAGCGAAGCCGAAACAATCTTGGAAACAGCTTCCCTCCTCATTGTCGTCCTCCCCTCCGCTCCCTGCTGCATTAGTCCTCAGTCCCCCCCCTGCTCCTGCTGCTAATCCTGCACCCTCGCGAGCACAAGGGCGCAGCAAAACCCAGCCTCTGGCGGGAGTGAGGCTCGACGTCCAGGGGAAAGCTTGAGGGCGCCAGAACAGGACCGCCTGGCCTGTCCACCGTGGGACGTCGCTCCTGCATCGCTCTCCCGCCCTGTCCCTGCCCCCGGCTCTACTCGCCCCCTCCCTCCCGTCTCTGCCCCCCCCGCCCCTGCTAGTCCTCGTCGTCGTGCTCCTGGATGTCGACCAGGTCCCCAGAGGGAGTCATTTGTTCCGTGAAACTTCTCTCCGTCCTCCGCCCCCCATCCCTCCTCATCGCCCTCCTGCTCATCCGCCTCCCCCTCCCCCTGCCCCTCCTCCCTGCTCCTCCTCCCCCTCCTCCTCCTCCTCCTCCTCCTCCTCGTCCTCCTCCTCCTCCTCCTCCCCCTCCTCCTCCTCCTCCTCCTCCTCCTCCTCTTCCTCTTCCGCCTCCTCCTCCTCCTCCTCCTCCTCCTCCTCCTCCTCCTCCACCTCCGCCTCTTCCTCCCCCATCCCCCGCCCCCCCACCCCCACGCTGCGCCGTCGCTCATGCCAGAGAAGCTATCAATGGCAGCCCCGTCGCACAGACCCTGCGAAGAAGCAGGCCAGACTGCTAAAAAGTAGACCGGGCCCTGCCAAAAAGTAAACCAGACCCTGCCAAAAAGTAGACCAGACCACCCATAGGTAATCCAGACCCTGCCAAAAAGTAGACCAGACCCTGCCAAAAAGTAGAACAGACCACCCATAGGTAAACCAGACCCTGCCAAAAAAGTAGACCAGACCCTGCCTAAAAAGTAGGCCAGACAACCCATAAGTAGAGCAGGCCCTGCCAAAAAAGTAGGCCAGACCACTCATAAGTAAACCAGACCCTGCCAAAAAGTAGACCAGACCCTGCCGACAAGTAGGCCAGGCCACCCATAAGTAAACCAGACCCTGCCGAAAAGTAGACCAGACCCTGCCAAAAAGTAGACCAGACCACCCATAAGTAAACCAGACCCTGCCAAAAAGTAGACCAGACCCTGCCGAAAAAGTAGACCAGGCCACCCATAGGTAAACCAGACCCTGCCAAAAAGTAGACCAGACCCTGCCAAAAAGTAGACCAGACCACCCATAAGTAAACCAGACCCTGCCAAAAATTAGACCAGACCCTGCCAAAAAGTAGACCAGGCCACCCATAAGTAAACCCGACCCTGCCAAAAAGTAGACCGGACCCTGCCAAAAAGTAGACCAGACCACTCATAGGTAAACCAGGCCCTGCCAAAAATTAGACCAGACTTTGCCAGAAAGTAGAGCAGACCATCCAAAAGTTGACCAGACCCTGCCAAAAACTGGACCAGACCCCGCCGAAAAGTAGACCAGACCACCATCAAAGGAAAGCCAGACACCCGCACATATTGGGCAGAGCCAGCACCAGCCATGCCCAGAGGCAGACAGCACCATTCATAATGGGCCCCAAGAGAGACGTTCGTCTCTCTGCGATCGCGCGTGGCCAAGCGGGCTCAAGCGGGCTCAAGCGGGCTCAAGCGGGCTCAAGCGGGCTCAAGCGCTCATTTGCTGAGCACGGGGTCTGCGCGGGGGCGCCAGGGCGCGCGTTGTGGGGCTGCGCCTCGCAGCCTCTGGCGCGATGGTGTTGAGATGCAAGACGTGCCACCAGCGCGCCAGAGACCATGATGGAAGCTGCAAGAACTCGAAGTGCGCGCAGTACCGCGCGCCTCTGAAAGGGCAGCATTGGAAAGTTGCCAGGGTGAGCGATATCTTGGGCAAGCCGACAGAGAAAATCGGCGCGTACGTCGCCGGCGGTTTCATTCTCACTTTGCTTCACAGACATGACATTCGCGTCGGCGTAGCGAGCGGCGAGTATCTTCGGGCCGCAGCCTCTGGCGCGACTGCAGTGCGCTTGGAGCTTTTAGCGGTGGTCTATCTGTGCTACTGGCGGTGGTCGGCGAGCTCACTTCTTGGATACTTGTCGAAGGCATTATCCCGTTTTGAGCGCGCGGACTCCGCAGACAGAGCTGAGATCTTAAAGGGCGCGTGGTCTTCGATGGAGGCGGACATGGACGGTTACCAGGTCGTCGGAAATCGCCAGGAGCACGATGTTCAGTTAGTACCCCGCCAAGACCGGAAATGTATCGCAATCTCAGCCCCTGGCGAGACTTTTGCGTATCATCCTTACAAGAACCCGGCTAGTCGCCGCACTGGTGCGCACGAATTCGAGAAATTGGTGCCTGACGTGCAGAATGGTAAGCTCCGGGACGCTTGCGTAGATCTCGCCGAGTTGTTCGCCGCGAAGCCCACGTTCAGGGACGCCGAGAGCATCCTGCGAAAGCACGAGATACAGCTATGGGCCGGCGCCACATACAATCGAGTCAGGTGGCGTGGGAACCCAAAAACATCCCGCGCGGGGCCTCCCGATTCTGGCCCTCTGGTTGGGCATCGGTGTCCTCTTTGACCACGATCTCAAGGGGGAATCCAGCCGTGGCGACGACATCGCCCGTCGTCGTCGTCGTCGTCGTCGTCGTCGTCGTCGTCGTCCTCGTCGTCGTCGTCGTCGTCGTCGTCGTCGTCGTCGTCGTCGATGGCCTGCCGAGGAGGCAAGTGGCGTCGGCGCCGTCGTCGTCGACGTCGTCGTCGTCGTCGTCGTCGTCGTCGTCAGCGTCAGCGTCAGCGTCGTCGTCGTCGTCAGCGTCGTCAGCGTCGGCACCGTCGTCGTCGTCGTCGTGGTCGTCGTCGTCGTCGTCGTCGTCGTCGTCGTCGTCGTCGTCGTCGTCGTCTTCGTCTCCGTTCTCGTATGACATAACGCGACACCGATTCTCGGATCTGGATATATACGACAGCAGATGTCCGGGCCCCCCTCCTGCCTGGCGCCCCCATCCCGCCCCTCCCCCATTTCTCTCCCCCTCCCCTTTGACAGGATTTGTGGTCCGCTTTCTGGCTCTCCAGGTTTGTGCAGTGGCTGTTCAAAGCGGAGGGCCTGCGCGTGCCCGTCGAGGACAAAGATTGGCCCCTGATCGCTGGCATGGGGTCTGGGGCTGAAGAGGGCCTGGCCGACGCAGGTATAGATTCGCACGAACAGGCGGAGGCGGCCTGCGCTATTTTGGCTGTCGAAATCGCAGCCTCTGGCGCGACGCCCCCGGGGGGCGGGGTCGGTGCATCCTCCGGCGCGACATGCGGGGTCGACGATCTCGTCTGTTTCCTGTGCTTGAGCAAAAACAGAGAAGCTGTTCCTCGCAGGGTGTTCCCGCCGCCTGCGCCCCAGGTGTCCATCGCGCAAGATTTGGGGTTGGTTGCCCCGGTCGCAGCCGCTGGCGCGAGTGCGCCCTCAGGCGAGACTCTTTGTCATGCGCGAGTCAGGGGCAAAACCGCAGCGACGCCAGCCATCGTCTCCATCGCGGCGTGGGTGCTCCAGGAAATCTTGCGCTGGGTGCGCGCTCCCGCCGCGGGCGCAATATGTAATTGTTGCCGCGCGTGGCGCGCAGGAGGTCTATTTCTGGCCTGCGCGGTCTCTGAGAGGAGGCGGGGCGTCGCAGACTCTGTCGCGAGCATCCTGTCCTTCGATGCTAAGCCCGTCCATGCGCTGCGCGATGCAGGAGTCTCCAAAAGTGATGTTCTCCGCGCTTGGGCCTGCGCGTGGGACTTGCTCGATGGGCTCCCCCCGCGTGCTAGTTTGGACTTCGACGAGCGATTGTTGTCAATGGCTCTAGTTCGCATGGGCGTCAAGGAACACCTTCGGGGCGACGCGAAGAAGGACGCGGCTGCCCTGATGTTCCCCGATGCAGGCGGGGAATATTCGCTTGCGGCTGTGGAAAAAGAAACACTGGCAGCGATGGAATGCCATGTGGTGATGATGATGGCGCACAACGATTCTGGCCTCTGGCGGTGATTCGCAGCCTCTGGCGCGAACCGGCATGGGGGGCGGCCGCTGGGGCGGCTGCTGGGGGCGACCAGCATTCGGGGTGTCTGGTCGCGATGGCGCAGGCTCGGGACAGCGGCAGCGCTCGATTCTTGGGGCACTGAGAGCGGGGCGTCTCGGTGAGCCTGCGCGCGGACGTCGGCGAACGCGGCGCGTGCTTGAACCGTGCCAGAGAAAATTACACCTGTTCGTTTTTCCGCTGAGCGTTTCTCATCGTGCTTCTGTCAGATGTCCTTGTCGGGGATGTTCCAAGCAGCCGCTGCTGCCGCTACTTTTACAGCTACTTTTACGAGTGCTATTACTAGAACCAGTACTACTCCGAATACTACAACTGCGACTCCGACGAATATTACGTCTACTAAGTTAACTACTACTACTACTACTACTACGACTACTACGACTACTACGACTATTGATACTACTGCTACTACCACTGCTACTACGACTACTACTACTACTACTACTACTACTACTACTACTACTACTACTACTACTACTACTACTACTACTACTACTACTACTACTACTACTACTACTAGTATTGCTACCACTACTGCTACAATTGCTACGGCGACTGTTACTACTACTGCTACTAATGCTATGACTGCTACCACCAGGGCTACTGTTACTGGCACCCCGCAGCTACATCAACTTAGCGTGGCACTGCTACCGCTACCGGTGTTGACGTTGCTATTAATGCAACTGGAACTGCTACCAACACAACTGTCACTTCCAGAGCTACTACAAATGCAGCTACTACCACTACTACGGCGACGACAACGGCGACGACGACGTCGACGGCGGCGGCGACAGCGACGACGACGGGGAGGGAAACGACGACGGTGACGACGACGCCGACGACGGCGGCGGCGGCGGTGCGACGACGACGACGGCGACGGCGACGCCGACGACGACGACGGCGGCGACGGCGGCGACGGCGACGGCGACGACGGCGACGGCGGCGGCGAGGGCGACGGCGACGGCGACGACGACGGCGGTGGCGGCTGCGGCAGTGGCGGCGGCGGCGGCGTCGACGACGGCGATGACGACGACGACGACGACGACGACGACGACGGCGGCGGCGGCGGCGGCGGCGGCGGCGACGCTTATTGTAATGATTTTGGCTTTGGTGGACCGGGCAGTGTCTACAGACAAAACCACGAGGGGGGAAGGGTGCTGCTCGATCAACTTCCCTATCCAGAATTGTACATCCCCCTCTCGCCTCTGTCCCGAGAATAAAAGCAGAATGTACCGATAGGGACAGACAGGTGGCGGGGACGGAGTGACGTGAATGGGGGGGGAGGCGGAGGATCAACCACAGGGGCCAGGGGTTCATCAACCACCACATCAGCCTGGACAATCCTGGGCCCCCTCGGGGGTCCTATCGCCTTCCTTGGAGGGAGATGTGCAAAGTCGTCAGTGAGGCCTTTGGCACGGTTCGTTTGTTGCTCTTTTTTGCGACCTTCGCGGGCCTCGGACACCTCCTCCAACGAATATCGGGCGCCCGCGGCAATCAGTCCCCTTAAGCAAGGTTTCGCACGTGCCAAGTGTTTGTAGAGGCGTCCGTTGGACCGAAAGCCCCACCTACAAATGCCACAATCCGTGCCAACGGCCATGTAAGCTGGCGTGTTCCTTTGCGGATGGAACTTCCCTCGATGAGCCTTCAAATGCCTGGGTGAGACAAAAACTTGTCCGCACTCGTAGCAGATGTGCTTCCGCTCTGCCTCCTCCACTGGCTCCTGCACGCTGGTGTCCCTGACGTGCTGCGCGACCCTCTCCTCCCACAAGTATCGCTGGTGTCGGTCGGACCACCATGTTCTGGATTTTGCGATGGTAGTCGTCAGCAGGGATCGAAAACGGCGGATATCCAAACGTACTGCCGTCACCCATTCGTCTAAGGCACCCTCCCCAGGAATATCGGAAGGGCCAACAAACTTGGAAAGCCAATCGAAACTCTGGGAGAGGGCCAAGACCCACCCATCGCGCGAAAGCAAACACGCATCCAGGAGGTGCCTCAAAAAGGGGGGTGCCTTAGTCAACAGTCGGCCAGAGTAACGAAGTCTGTTTATGTGTACCACAGCTTCCCAGAGTGAAATTGATCAATCTCTCCATCTGGTCAACCTTCTGGTTTGTCTGCGGTGGTGGTGGCGGCGGCTGTGGTGGAAAGGGTGCTTGTTCACCTGCTGCTTGTCCCATCATCTGTGCTGCCTTGGATTTGTCAATGCATGCGTTCACGTTTGGCCATGCGCTCGGAGACGGCGGCACAATGCCAGGCATCTGCCTGGGTCCATACATGTTCTCCGACGTGTCTGGGTGCGCTCCTGCCGCATACGTGCGCGGCTCTTCATCCATCTCACTGCCGACCTGGTAGTCCTCCAGGTCTTCTAGCTCCTTGATGGATTTTTTCCACAGAACTAAATCACGCTCAGCTTCACTCCTCTGATCTCCAATCTCGTTCATCTTCGTCGTCAAGGTCTTGCTACGATTGATGCACGTGTCACGCTTTTGCTGGAGCTCAGCCAAGTGGTCGGCGAGTCGGACTGTGGTACCCATCATGTACTTGCGGCACGATATTTCTTTCATGAGCATAGTGTCATCCTTGCCTGCTTTCCTCGCGACGATGACGAGACGGGCGATGTCGTATAGCCTCCATTTGGTACGTTCCTTGTACTCTTTGATGGCCTGCGTGTCACTGGGGGCCACGTCGTAGCCACATTCACGCATGTGCCGCTGGGCGTCCGATGTGCTCATGGGGATGACACGCCCTATAAACTGCTTGATCTCCTGTTCCTCCCTCTTGATGTCATTCTGGACTCCTCGGGAACGGCTGGGCTGTCGGGGCCCTCCTGCGTCACGTGGGGGCCTCAGATCTCGAGGACGGATTGGCTGACGAACTCTCTCGGTCCTATTGTCGAAGTGGCTGCCGCACAAGCACCTCCAGTGATGTGGCTTCACGTAGCGGCCGCAGCCGCAGTTCCACTGTTGTTGGGGGCCACCCACTTTGTTGTGTCCTGGGCGAGAACCAAACATCTTGAATGAGGGGGAGCTGTGGTGGGTCCTAAGAAGGGTTTGGGCCTTGTACAACGAAAGGAGGAGTCGGGCCTGGTGGCGCTTGGCGCGTTCGCGCCTGTGCCACGCAGGCTCCTTCGTGATGCGTTCGGTATGGAGCGTGGCCAGCCTGACTGACGGCACACCTGGGGTCAGGCCTTCACTTGGGCCAGACGCCTCTCCTCCTCATCCTCCTCCTCGTCGTCCTCCTCCTCCTCCCCCTCCCCCTCCCCTCCTCTTCCTCCTCCTCCTCCTCCTCCTCCTCCTCCTCCTCCTCCTCCTCCTCCTCCCCCTCCTTTTCCTCCTCCTCCTCCTCCTCCTCTTCCTCCTCCTCCATTCCTTGTCCTCATAAATCACTTCTCCCTGTTGCACCCCGAGGCCAGTTTTAGGGCGGGCCGGGCGTTTCGCCCGAGACTTCCGCACCCTCTATGACCCTGAAGCTTTAGCATTGGCAACTGCTTCGCAGATGGAGGGCGGGTCGTCTTCAAAATGTGGCTCTCGCCTTAGCGCCGCGCATATTCGTTTTTAGATATAAGCAAATGCAAGAGCTTCACGGATTGAGGACGGGCCGTTTTCCAAATGTGGTTCTCGCCTTAGCGCCGCGCGCATTCGTTTTAAAAAAGGAAGAGTTTCACAGATTGAGGGCGGGTGGTTTTCAACATGTGGCTCTCGCCTTAGCGCCGCGCACATTCGTTTTAAATATGTGCAAGGGCTTCACGGATTGAGGGCGGTTCCTTTTCAAAATGTGGCTCTCGCCATATCGCCGCGCACATTCGTTTTAAACATTCGCAAGAGCTTCACGGATTGAGGGCGGTTCCTTTTCAAAATGCGCCTGTCACCTTAGCGCCGCGCACATTCGTGATACAATATTGAAAGAGTTTCACGGGATCCCATGATCGGCGTACCAGAAATGGTGTTTCGCTCTCAGCGACGAGCGAAAAGCACATATCTTCCATGCTTGGGGAAGCGAATAATGCCATAAACAACATAAAGACTCGGAGGTCCGCGCGGATTTCTCGGATCCGCGCGGACCTCAGATTTTTTTGTTTATGTCATTCTTCGTTCCCCTAGGAGGGACGGGAGGGGCTGTGGGTGCGTGTTGTCGGATGGGGGTCCACGCTCGAACGGGAGCCCCCCCCAGGGTCCGGCAACCCGCACCCATACCCATAGCCAGCCCTCCTTCCTCCGACCCCCTCTATGGGTATGGGGTATGTGTGTGTGTGTGTGTTCGCCGCTCAGAGCGTCCCGGAACGTTCTGGAACGGCCGCGGCGCCCGACAATTACATCCTCCGAGCCCTGCGATCCTCAGAGATCTCCGACTTCCGTCGGTCCGATTTTGTTCCAGTTCTGCCTTCGCCTCACCCGATCCGTCGTCCTTCCCCTCCATGGGTGCGGGGCCCCAAGGCCCCTCCTCCCTGCCAGCGCGGGCGCCTCGAGCAGGGCAGCGGCGCCTCGGTGGCGGAAGGCGGAGCCCCACCTTCTTTTCGTCGCGGCTCCACGGCGAAGAGCACGGCGGCAGGTTTTCCGCAGTTTGGCTCAAGTCGGGCCTGTCCCTCTACAGGAGGAAAGTTCAAAAATTGTTCTTTAAAAAGTCGCATGGGACATTTTTTTTAATGAGCATTTCTGGGGTATTGCTAATTTTTCATCCCGAACCCCCTTGTAGAAGGACATGCCCGACCGAAGTTTGGGGCCTCGGGGGGGCCGCGCTGGGACCTGGGGCAGTCAGAGAAGGACTCAGACTGGGAAGGCGGCCCCCAGGGAGGCGGTCTGGACCTCCGAGGGCCCGCGGTGGAGCAGCCGAGCCTACAGACGCATCGGGTGATGAGGACTTCTCCTCCTCCTCCTCCTCCTCCTCCTCCTCTTCCTCCTCCTCCTCCTCTTCCTCCTCCTCCTCCTCCTCCTCCTCCTCCCCCTCCTCCCCC